AATAGTTTTGGTGGTGTTCAATTAAAAGTATACAGACTACTCTAAATAACTTTTAAATAAGAATTTGAATACTTTTGGTGGTGTTCAAAAGATGAATTTGAACCTTTCTATTGACTGTTAATTAGTCGGGAAAAAGATTAGTTTCGGAATTTAATTTTCATACTTGGCAACATTTTGTTTTCCTTCTGTTTGTGTTTGCATTACAATAAACCTATTTTTTTTTGAAAAACTTAATGTTTTCAAATTTTCTGTTACGAAAAAAACTGTAACTTAAATATTACTATAGTAATTTCATGAAACTTTCCACAAATATTTTATGAAATATTCTGAATTAAATGGACTAAAAGTTTAGGTTTATATACATATCTAAACATTTTTCAGACAATGTTGTAAACGAAAAGAGAAAAATTTCTCGAAACCTAACTAGTGCATGTACTCAAACAGGTATATTTAATAGACATTTTATTTTGTCACTTATATTTTAGCCCATTTAATCCCTTATACCTTAATAAACGTAACTAAAAAATATAAAAGTAAAATACTGGTAAATATTTTTGTGGGAACGTAGCTAGTAATAAATTTTTAGCTCAAAATGTGAGGAAAAAATAAAAATTATATACTTCAATGATATGTTTATTACCTTTTTTTATAATTTTAAGTAGTATTCTGCTAAATAATGCCAATAATAGATTTATTTGTATTATTTTCCAAAATGTGGGTGCCGAACGTTGTCGAAAGGAATTTTTCGTGCTTAAGAAGTTTGTTTCACATATATTTACAATATATATGAGTCATTCACATATAATAGATTTTTTTTCATGCTTAAGAAATTTATTTCACATATATTTACAATATATACAAGTCATTCACATATGCTTGCTATATATTACATATGTATTATATACTATAAAATATATATTTTTTATGTATATACATATATAGCAAATATACATTTTCCTTATTTCAGTTTTGTTAATTTTTTTCGCATGAAATGTTTTATTTTGAAATTCCCGCTTAATAAGTTCCCATTAATCTTTCCACCACTTCAGGGAACGTTACTTTCCTTTCCGAATGTAAAATCTTTATTATTTATTATTATTATTGTTATTATTATTATTATTATTATTATTATTATTTTTAAGAAATTCTTACTGGATGCACATATTTCCCCATTTTTAATAGAAGCGTAAATCATCAATCAGTTTTGTTTTTAAAACACTGATGGTTCTTTTTCTGTTATCATCAGTACCTTTCGAGCAATAATTGCGTACCAGTTGCTGTCATCATAATGGTTACCAAGATCCCTACGTGAATTTGCCACTTCCAACGCAAGAAAAAGCTTTAAGATTTGATTTCCGCCCTTTGCTTAATTTTCTTTTATGATAATTAATGGGAAAAAAGATAATAATAAAAAAAGAATATACGTATTTCGAATGCATATATTTATTAAACTGTATGACATACGAATATGAAACCTTACACACATATGTACGAACCTCTCAAGTTCAGATTACAGATGTTACAGATGTTCAATATGTCCTCCATCAGCGACACGAACAATATCACATCGATACTCAAATTCCTCCCATACTCGGGCAAGCATGTCCGTCGTCACTGATGTTATCACAGTACGGTTCTGTTCTTCACCTCTTCCAGGTTCTGTGGGTGTAGTGGTACATAAACATTGTCTTTAATGAAACCCCACGGGAAGAAGTTACAGGGTGTCAAATCCGGTGACCGTGGAGGCCAGCTGAGACATGTTAAGTCGCCAGCTCCTTGACGACAATCCAACGTTTCGGTAGAGTTTCATTCAGATAATCACGCACTTGGCGACACCAGTGAGGAGGGTTGCCCTGTCTTGTTGAAAAATGAAGTTGTCTTCGTGCAGCCTCAGAAACAACCAGTTTTGTAGCATAGCGAGATACTGCTGACCGTTAACCATGTTTCCATCAAAGATGAATGGGCCGTCAACAGATAATCCGGATATCGCACAAAACACATTAATTTTGGGCGAATCTCGAACATGTTCGATGGCTGCATGTGGGTTCTGTAGGCCCCAAGTTCGAACATTGTGTTTGTTTACATGACCTCTAACATGAAAAGTCGCTTCACTGAACACGATCCATTATGCGAAAGTGTTATCATTGTCAATAGCATGTTCGACTTCACAACCAACCGACGTCTCAAAACACGCCAAATTGTTGTTGTAGGCAGTTGTAACTCCCGACTGGCACGACGAGTTTGTTTTAAAGGACTACGTTGGAAAGCAGTTTGGATTCGTGCAACATTTTCGTCGGGAACACGAGGGCGGCCAGAACTCTTTCCTTTACATACACATCCTGTATTACAAACTGTCGCTACCATGTGCGAATGTTCCACCCATTCGGAGGATCACTTTGGTACCTCAACTTGAAACGTTTTTTTACACTGTAAACACGGAATTGCACTTCACAAGCTCGAGAACACAAAATGATTTCTGCTGCGGAGTAACCATTTTAAACATTTGACGGTTACCATGCAAAACAGAAGACAACTGACATCTAGCGGCTATTAATATAAACTAGACTATGTATTCGTTTCGCCAATAGCCGAGCCGAGAGCACTAACGTACAGCTCCCGACTCGGTCGATAGCTCTCGAGCTAATCTCTGAACTCAAGGCAGTACTACTGAACTCAACATACTCTAGATACGCGTACAAGCATAGTATATATAGCTTTAACCTGCCTTCGAGAACATTCTCGGGAAAGCCGGTATGAATTCGCTCTGGAATGTTCTCGCTCCCTCTGTGACATATCGCCAGTTTTGTTACTAAATCACTCTGGGAGAGATATTAGGAGGCGAGACACAAAATAGATTTATGTATTTATACTGTGGATTCTTTTTAGTTTTGCTGTTCTGTTTTATCTTTGCTTGTTCTCTCTACAGTTGTCTACGTAATCTACCATTAGGTGGAAGAAAAAAAAAACTCTTCATAAGTAGTTCATAGTTTACAACTATTATTTACACATCGTTCCACAATGAGCAAAATTAACTTTTATCCTTCTGGGTAATTCAGCAACCGGTTAATCAGGATTTGACTGTATCTCTGTAAATTTTTATGTCTGTTGCATCAGGAACTTATATTTACAATTCGCTATTTCAATGATCCTAGCTTCAAAAATTCTGCTATCTATTTTCGTAATATTGACCTCTTTCAAACAAGACTGGAGAGAGGTAAAATTTTATGAAGTTCTGTGTCAGAAGACAGAAGAAATTCTTTGACATGTGAAGGCTTATTGCTTCCTTGGACATTGACATTGGACTGTTTGAGGAAGAAAAGGCATCAGAAGGAGAGGGGGGGTCTTGTTTGACTTTTACACCGTTAAAGATGCCTGGAGCCATAGTTGGGCGATCACCCAATCGAGTTGCAGATGTCAAGATGAAATAACCACTTGTGCGGTACCGAGACAAATATTTCGTCCACCTATCGAGAATTCTCTTATTGCGCTTTGTTCTTGTTGCTGATAATTTCCGCTTGCCGCTATTATTACCGAAAAATGTAAATTTTTTTTAATAGATAAGTAACCAACTCCTTATGTGCCTTAGAACTAGACGGCTAAAAGCAAGGTTTTGAGGTTTAAGTAAGTTTTTATTTGATATATGTTATTATTTCAGTTTAAGTATTTTGAATAATATGCTCAATTTTAAAACAAGGTACCTAAAGTTTATTTCCGATCATTTACATGATTTGAAAGAGATAAAAACGTGTTTTCCCAAATGGATTGTAAAATGGATTCAAAATTAATTTTTTTCATTACGTCTGTACGTACGTCCGCACGTATGTGTATCACATAACTCGAAAATGATCGCTCGTTGAAATTTGGTATATGGAACTGTTGTAACATCTAGTTGTGCATCTCTCTTTTTTATTGCAAACGGCAGTATTTACTGCGTAGTCGTGATGGCTGAGTGGAAAGACGTTGACAAAACTAAGTTCAGCGAATCACCATCCTGATTTTTCGGCACATCAAGATCATTTCTTTATAGGCAATATACTTTTTCATCATAAGCAATTAATAATTTTTATATAGACAGGTTAAAAAGGAAAATAGTAGCGCATAGATGTTTCCAGGAGTGTCTTACCAGGAGGAAAGCGTAAGCAAAAGTGTGGCAGAAATTCAGAGAAAGAAGGGATCGCGTCAAAAAGTATCACATTCACCCCCTTATTCGGCCTTTATTTTTGCAGTCGTTGGTCGTAGTTATATGCTTCAAATTAGAGAAATGCTGTTAACAACGAAAAATATTCATGTTTGGGCAAATGCCAAATAAAAAATATATATTTTGGACAAAAAACGAAATTTAACTTTTAATGCGGTTTCCCGGTTTCTATACTTATATTTTGGAAATTTTTATCTCGGTATTAAAAAATAAAACTATCATACATCAAAATCGTACTCCCGTACGACAAAAATTTATTGACCTGCATATTGAATTTAAAAATTTGCAATTTTTGATGTCATTTTCAATTTAGATTGATGGATCAGTGAATTAAGTTAGTTGGAGGAAATAAGTTTAAATGAAGTGCAGCAAAAAATATGTATAACTTAATAGGCCGTTCAGGGAAGTCATGTGATGTCCACATCAGATGTTTTTTAATAAGTTTATATCCATATTTCCTCTGCATGTTTCTTTTACTTGCTTCCCAACAGCGAGTAAGAAAAATTATTATTTTATAATTTTCTTTGATATTGAACTGTATTTTTCTATAAAGTTATGAAATTATTCAATTTCGATAAATAGTTTAGGAACATTTAGTAAAGGATCTTTCTTTTTTTTTTCCACCAGTTTGTTATGGAATCAGGGAACGTCAGTAAAATAAAAATATGAATATTCGTATGAGCCTTTTATAATCTCACACACTGTCTTTCAGATTTGCCTTTTTCATATTTGTTCATGTTTTGCATATTATTTACCTTATAAATATGCGCTTATTAAAATCTCGAAACTTTTATAATTCTAGGCTTACATCAGAAGCGTCAACGATGCATATAAACAGACTGCAGACAGGCTCCAGTTGACCAGAACAGGAAGTCATCCGGAAGCGGAAGGCGGTACCAAGAAAAAATAAATAATAATTGGTCGCAACTCTTACGACATGTTGCTTAAAAGTTACACATGTAATAGGACTAGAACATGCAACATGTGCTCAAGCATTGTACTGTTTCTCGTTGTGGCTCTTCACACGACCTTGTGCTCGGCTGCAATCAATTTGGGTGAGTAATTTTAGAATTCGTTGCCTTTGATTTTAGTTATTTGGTAATGGGCTACTGAAAATTAAATGGGTCTAACTGGATTCAAATAGTATCTAAATTTGTTTTACGTTATGGAACTGAAAGATTTTATATTTTTTGGAGAAATTGGTAAAGACGTAAAATTACTGTCAGCTTCCGTTTAACCAGTGGGAAATCGAGTCCAATGTAAAAAAGTAATTTTGTTTATTTCAGAACGATAGGTAAATTGCCTTTATGAATTATTATCATCGGCGTAAAACAAAACTATCTACGTAAAATGCAAAAAGCAGAAGAGTAGTGTGTGGGAAAGCAGTAGCGGTAGAAGCAGTGCAGGATTTACATGTAAGGCTACACAAGCTACAGCTGAGGGCCCCCTTTCTTGCCACCCCCAAATTAAAATATAGTATGAATATAGTATTAAAATATAGTATAACACTATATTTTAATACTATATTGCTGTTGGGAAGCAAGTGTATATAAAGAGACCGATAATCTCAAGTAGCTTAGTGCCTTATCAAGTCTAAATCCGGCGCTGGGTAAAAGATAGTGTTTCTAATTTCGTTTTCTTTTTTTTTTTTTTTTTTTTTCTTTTTTTTTCCCCCATTCTAATGATGTTTACTCTTCTGTAATTTAAAATATGCATGTATGTTTTTTTAAGCATTTTTTAAAGCTGATGTAATTCATGTAAATTTATGTAACTTGTTCTCCAGATTAAACTTCTTCAAAACAAAGGTAAAATGTTAACAGAATCATTCTGTTTAGATCATTCTTCTCTTCTTTTTCAAATCGATAAAGCGTTCTTTTAAATTATGGCCGGTATTGCCGCGGTTGAGCGGCAGTTGACTGTAATTAGTTCAAAAGGGCTTTGGCCCTGAAGGTCTTTGGTTTTCGTTTTGCGATTTTGCGTTGAAAACTATTCAAATCGTTGCCACCAACCCTGTATTATATTTGAAGAAATTAAATAATGAAGAATCTACATAAAATGTATGTATGTTTCTCGCATTGTGATAAAACAACGGTACCTAGAGCCATCCAATTTTGAATGACGTAATCCTACTGCAAATATTCGCATCTGAAAGCCGAAATTTGGAATTTGTTTTATTATCGATTTCATATTTTGTAAAACTTTTAACAAATTTTTGATTAACGAACTCTACGATTTAAAAGCGAACAATGGCAACACTCTACGGGGGAAGAAAAAAAAAAAAACCATTTTACCTCTTGCGCGCGGAACTGTGTATCGGAAATTCTAAAGATATGTTCATTTTAAAATTAATTTGTGACATTGCCGTTGAATTGAATTTCATGGTTTAAGTGCGAATAACAGGATATTTAATAAATAAAGGTAACACACAAAATTTTGAAAAAACGCTCCTTTGGACGTAATTTAAAATCTGTAACTTTTCAGATTTTTTTTTAATTTTAAAATTTTGTTTTCTATTTTTATCCTATGCAATACGGATTCTAATCGATGTTGCGATTGTAATCTAATACACCCTTTATCTTACCCTTTTCAAAATTCTGTGAAGAGATATCTTTCCCTCCCCTGCGATTCATGTTTCTCGAAAAATAACAAATTAAGGGTCGCGAACCAGAAAAATCTCTCTGGGTATTTAAAATCAAATCACCGTGTTATTAATCCTTGCTTTCCGCAATATCGCGCTTCGTTAAGCTAATATACTGCAGCTAAAGATAAACGATGATCGTTTGGCTCATCAGTAAACTTCCTTTAATAAGGGAGAAGGAGATAAAAAGTAAAGCCAGAAATTTCTCGAAGAACTTCAATAAAGCTAATAACTGACGTGATTAATAAAGATCGTCAAAATGCTTAACTACAGCAGGAGGAGGATATTTTCCGGAATGTAGAGGGTGCTCCGCTTTCTCAAATACGTACTATCCTTCGTGGTAATTATTTTTGCAGCTTAATTACGTGATGCACCGCTTGGAGGCGCTCCATGCACAGTAACTAATTTCTGCAACTATAGCGCCCCCTTTTTTTAACGTAACCGTAGCAGTATTGTAAAATTACTTATGTTGGATACTTGATCTTGCCATTATAAATTATTGATCGGATTATCCTGTTACATTCAAGTGAAAAGCAATACTATTTTCAGTTGCAGCAGAAGGTCCTCTATACAGGTTGTTTATAAATGAATGGTGCGGTTTTAAAAGTGAATAATAAATGGATGTATTTCTTCATATGGGCTAGCTTACAGCATAAGCATTGGCAACTGTCCAAATTTTATATGCATTAATCACAATCTTTGAATACGTGCACCCTTGGTCACACGACACACAACTACATGGTAATCAAATTCTTTCCATACTCGGTGTAGCATGTCCGCCATGATGGTCTGCAGTGCATGCTTTATCGAACCACAAACTTCCTCAAGGAACACGGGCATTGGCGGTACATAAACTCAGTCTTTAACATACCCCCAAAGAAAGAAATCGCATGGTATTAAATCTTTCGAACAGGATGGCCAGGGAAGAAGATTGTTGCTGCTGTTGCAGCACGTCCAATCCAGGCTCCATGTTGGGTGCCATTTTGTAATTGTTCTTCTATAAATACAAACGCCGGCTAGCTCTAAAAGGATTTATTAAGAGAGAACAGGAACAATTACAAAGAAAATACACATCAGAACAGAACATACACTAAAACGAAACACCTAACATTTAATTTTCTAAATTTTAACCTAAGTTAAAATTTAGAAATTATGGACACATAATAATGAAGAACCTATCTTCAACGCAGCTGGAGGTCAACTGAGTGTAAGTCGCTCTCTTCGCCACTAGATGGCGTTCGATAAAATAGTGCGGTTACAGTCAAATACTTCTGTTCACATAAATAATTAAAACAATGAAGACAATTTTATTTTTACGCAGTGGCCAATTCTTTCGACCATTATCAGATGTTACGTTACGTTACCAGAGCATTTAACTTTCAAGAAATTTATTTTATTTCTGATATTCATAGTCCAAAATAAGTTCTGTTGCAAAATGCTGTTAAGATATCCAGATAAAACGACATTTTAAATACTCTGTATTGAGCAACATACTTTTACGATATCAAAGATAAATGAAAGATGTTATTCATCGTTCATTAGCAGCAACACCCGTTTATAATGGAGAAGATTGTATGGGTACTTGAAACTGATAGTTAAAAATACCTTTCTTTCACCATGGAAAAGAAACTTTCTTTCCGATTTAAAGAACCTTAAAAAATCTGTTTACACTTAAAGAATTCCAGTCAGTTCGACCATGACACCACGAATCGTAAAATTCTTCCTTCTTCGCCCGCCATGTGCCAAAACAATGTGAAAACAGCGAAGTTTCAGTTTATTTTCGCAGCTGAGCGGAAGCTAAAGCAAGAGAAGAATGGATCTTCTTATTTCTCGGCATCTCTCAGCGCATAAACACCAAAAGCAGAGCCTGGCTTGAGATTTACGAGATTGCTCAACTGTTGGTCTTTTCTCTTTTATTATTTCACACGCGCGTTGCTCAGCATTTTGTGAATGAGTTGATATTTTCCGAGAGGTTTAAAAATAGGACTTCGATTGCTTATGGAGGAGTGACGAATTGGGATTAGTGCGGAAGTGGTCTATATATTTTCAAACATTAATTTTATATTTTAATGTAGGAATGAGTTCCTCAGTGATAGTCTCAGAACAAAACATTTGTACCCTTATATCTCAGTAATTCCAAAAGCCATAGTTTTCATTAATGGCTTATTTGATAGTTAATACAAAGAAACGCACAAAAAATTGACAACCGGAATTATGGTTGAGCCGCAGTAGAGTCTCAAACTTAGGCAAAAATACACCATATTTTGAAGACGTCAGAAGTGCGCGCGCACAAATTACTAGGTCGTAAGACGGTTCAGATCTATGTTGGAATCGAGGGGTTGTGCGAGCGACATACTGATTTTGTTTGTACAAAAATAAATAAAACCCGAAAGCTTTCAGATTTTATATTACGCTTAAAGGTACTTTTTTAACGTTTTCTGTGTTACTTTTATTTATTAAATATCATGTTCCTCACTCTTAAACCACATAAAATTCAATTCAGCAGTAATATCACAAACTATTTGAAAACAGCACATCTTTAGAATTTCAGATAGACAGTTTCGAGTGCTGGAGATTAAAATGTTCTTTTTTTTTTTTCCGTACAGTGCTGCCATTGCTCGTTTTAAAAATCGTTGAGTTTGTTAATCAAAAGTTCGTTAAAGTTTTACAAAATATAAAATGGATAATAAAACAAATTCGAAATTAAAAATTTGAATAATCAGCGATTCAGATAGTTGGAGTTCTGATAATTGAAGTTGTACAGTACATTTAATCAACTGCAGTACCCATTACAGTTATACAGAGACCTGATCAAAATATTGCCAAGTTTAGCCTTTTTTGGCGATTTCTCACCAACTATGGCGAGAAAAATTACTCGCAAAAACCTTCACCAGTTTGGCGATATCTCGCTTATTTAGTGAGATAGCCATTTACTGAATGTTAAATAGACCTGCCCCCTGTATTCTTATTTTCCTGGAAGAGGATCTTCTCCTTCAGCCATTTCATGTTACATTAGACAAAAAAATACTACAATTTGACGTATAATTTCAGTAAAATTATTTCCACATGTACAAAATTCATAACTATATGTAATGTGATGTAACATAACCTAGCAGTAGAAATACCATATGGGATTTTCCGCGAATCGTGTTTTGTTTTACGCCAACGGTTCGTGATAACGATTTTTTCCTTCGTTCCGCAATAAATAAATTTAGTTTTCTTTGTCAAGGTCCGCTAATTCTAATTCCCCTTCCCGCTTTGGTAATTGGGAGTTGACTGTGTTTTATTGCCGACATATCCATTAAAAGAATGAGGGCCTGTTGGTTATATCTAAAATCTAAAACAATAAACAATCAAAACATTGAGTCGAATGATAAATTAATACCCAAGTCATATCACATTGATGATGTCGCCTGA